TTCTTCTTCTTTCAAATACTCATTCACCCTCCATGCCAAAGCTTTAGAATGACAGGTGACTTCAAGTATTTTTCCCTCCTTGAGGCTGGCTTTTCAAACTCTCTAAATGCTTTCTTCTGAAGCTACGTGTTCTCTATGTACCGTACGACTGAAGAATAAAAAAGCTAAAATACAGGAAGAAAGAAGTTGTAGCATTTTGTTTGTTTGTTTGTTTGTTTAAAACAATTGAGATGCCCATAAATTAATGGTGAAATTAGATTATGGGCCATAAAGGGAGGTGCTATTTAAGAGAGAGCAGTCATGTCTGAACTGCTTAATTAGAACAGTTAGAGTAACTTCATCCTGCTACACAGTGCATTCCCCAGGGAGACTCTTGTGGAGAATAGACAGAATCCTGAAAAAAGAACCCTCCTCCTAATGAGCATTTTGAACAGCAATTTTATTCATTTACATTCCTCTTGTCTCATAAAGTTCAGATGAATTTGTCCACATTTTGCATTAATTTTTGTGATATTGACTCCTATTTCAGAGACTATAAGGAATCATTTATTCCACTAGACTCTCCCAATGTGGAAACTAATTCCTGGGGTGAGTGGGCACATCGGGTGAATTTGATATGTCGAAAGTAACGCTCTCATATCTACACTAATATAAGGGGACTAGGACGTAGATAATCCAACACAGCAGTATTAGCTAAACTTTCCACTTACTTCATTTTGAGAAAGTATGGAAAGTGATTCTTCTGGCAAGGATCCTATCTTCATGGAGTTTACAGTCATGTGGGAGAATTAAGATCTGTATAAAATAAGACAAAATCAGTGTCTTAGTAACAAACAGAGGTATGATAAGATGCTATGGGGACTCAAATAATGGAAAACAGGGCCATAGCACATGTGGTGATGTGTTCAAGAGAGACACTATTTAAGTCGAAAGAGGCACCATTTCGCTCCCTCCTTTTCTCCTCTCTCTCCCCCTCACTCCCTTTCTCTCCTTCCCACTGAACATAATACTTCTTATCTATAGATAAATCATTTATTTCCCTTTAAATAATTATACTCTCCCCAAAGAAAGAAATCACATTTTCTGACATTGTTAAATTATATCTAAGCAGTTATTCTACACTGGAGACACACACACCATATATATATATATATATATAGTATAGCATATATATAGAAAATATAGAAAAGACAAACTATAGTAATAGCAGGCATATATAAAAGGAGAGGTCCTTGGGATATGCCCTTCTGTACTTCATTCTATATTAAAAGTCTATGACAGGATCAGCAGTTAGCGTAATGGGTATGTCGCTGGACTCCCATATAGCCGACAGCAGTTCGAGTCTCGGACCTGGTAGCTTAAACTCACGCCAGGCACATGTGCATGCGTGCCCAAGATCCCAAGAGGAGAATGGAGGAGAAAGGACTGTCGCGTGGTCATCTTCTCGTTTTATGTCTCTCTGTCTTCTCTGCCTTTCTGGCAGGCACACGCAAGAGGAGAATGGAGGAGAAAGGACTGTCGCATGGTCATCTTCTCGCTTTATGTCTCTCTTTCTTCTCTGCCTTTCTGGCAGGCACACGCGCTCTATAGAAAAAACATCTCCAAAAAAAAAAAAGTCAATATACACAAATCTGACACAACCATTGCCTTATTAAGTGTCTCTCTCTCTCTTTTTTTTTTCTTCTTTTGCCAGAGGGCATGTGCACCCACAAGAGAGAGAGAGAGAACATTCCCCAGTGGGAAATGGTCATGCCACAATCAATTTTCCTCCTTTTCTTTTATCCTGTTGATATTCTAGGTATGCATGCACATGCATCCAGCGTATTATTCAAGCCACCAAGTCGAGATTCAAACCATGATCAGACATGTGGGATCTGGTTCCTTTAACTACTAGGCCTAGGGGCTGCCTCCCATGTTGTTTTCTTTAGGAGCAGAATTCCCACCTTGTTTGATTCAGAAACCCTATTTTGCCACATAATTAAGTCCCTGTGCCAAAAAGCAATCTAGAGCATCCAATACCTAAGTGGACAAAAAAATGCCTTCCTCCCTCTCTCCTTCTTTTATTCTTTTTCTCATAAATATGAATGCAAATTCTGGTTATATTAAACACATTGTTCTTAATTAGCAATCCTAGAGAATGGGACACTTAAGATGAGAGACTCAATAGAAGTCCTTTCTGAAAAAAGTAAAAGTTCTATATTCCATTATCATTTTAAAATCTGTATCAGTTGTTCAAAAATACCAGAGTACAGAATTGGTAAATGCTCTTTTGATATTAAAGATACAGCCAATGAAATAATATGAGAAGCTCTGAGATACTTTGCATTGTATTATAATTCAAGTTTTTTTTTTCCTCAAAAAACCTCAAGTATAATATTCTCTCCTTAGCAGTGGTTTTCCTTTTATGATTTCAAATACCTAACAGTCAACTGTGGCATGAAAATGGGTTTAAGTACAAAACAAAAAGATATTTTGAGATTGAGAGAGAGAGCAATCACATTTGCATAGCTCTTATTATAGCATATTGTTATAATCATTTTAATTATTATTCTTGCTAATCTCTTATTGTGCCTAATTTCTTTTTTAAAAAAATTTTTTGCTGGGATCAGCAGTTAGCGTAATGGCTATGTCGCTGGACTCCCATGTAGTCAACCACGGTTCGAGTCCCGGACCCGGTGGCTTAAACTCACGCCGGGCGTGTGTGCGTGCGTGCCCATGATCCTGAGAGGAGAATGGAGAAGGGATTGTGGCGTGGCCATCCCCTCTGGGGGGTGATTTCTCACTTTCTATCTCTCTGTCTCTCTCTGTCTGTCTGGCGAGCGCACACGCCCTGTAGCAAAAACCTCTCCAAAAAAAAGAAAAAAAATTATTTGCTTTATTTTATTTATTCATTCATTTATTTTAATTTGATCAAAGAAAAAGACAGAGAGAGAGAGGAAGTGAGAAAGAAAGCAAGCCACCAGGTCTGGGACTTAAACCATGGTCAGCCATGTGGGAGTGTCCCGCACCTTAACCACCACAGCACCTGCTAGTCCCACTGTGCCTAATTTCTAAAGTAGACTTTATCACAGGTATATGTAGGAAAAAATGTAGTATATATAATTCAGTACTCTCTACAGTTTAGGCATCCATTGAAAGTCCTGGAACATATTTACTGTGGATAAGGAGGGACTATAATATTGGATCTAATCCTATTTGAAATGTGAAAGGCCAAAAATTTAGGTAGGTTGATTCTACTAAAGAGCAGGCTCTTTTCAAAGCTATTAAATAAAGTTACAAGATTTTTGCAAAGAGTTTTGCAGTGTTCAAGTGCAGTCATTTAAGACGTCATCTTGATCCCATTTCCTGAGCCAATGAATTATAGATATATTTTGATGATTATTAAAATAAAGATGGTCTTTAAAAAAAAAAAAAACTAAAACAGACAGTCTTTTTTTAAATGTTGAGATCACTTTTGATGTTATATCAGCGAACGAAATACTACTATGGGGCTGGTCCTCACAGTAGTGGGAACCATATTCCACATGACTTACCACATAGTTTGAACCCTGGCCCTGGCCCATGCATACCCAAAACCTCAACAGAATGGAGAAATGAAGGAAAAGGGATTGTGGTATGACCATGTCCCACTGGGGGACGCTTTGTCTCTCTCCGTCACACTCTCTGGTGAGCACATATGCCTTCCAACTTATAAACAAATGAAAGAGGAAAAAAGTTTTCAAATTCTATTGGTCATAATTTTCCTCTTGAGGAATTTATAACGTATATGTACAAGTTATACTCACCTTTATTTGAGAAAGTACTAATACATTCTTATTGGTTCCCATAGCAAGAGAAATTGGGTGATATCTGCTTCTCCCTTCGCTATGTCCCAACGGCTGGTAAACTGACTGTTGTCATTCTGGAGGCAAAGAACCTGAAGAAAATGGACGTGGGTGGCTTATCTGGTAAGTCTGTGGTGTTCATCGATTTTTTTGTAATGCTTTTGTTATCATGGCTACCAAATGTGTAGCACACATACTGTGACTCCCACTCCTTAATTGATCACAGTTCTATTTCTTGTGTAGCCTGAAAGCTGTCTCAGAATTCATCCCAACACAGTGCCTCAGGAAGCCAGTCTCCATTGACTGGAATTGGCGTAGAAAATGAAACTATTTTCTTTCTTCAGAGCCAAAGTACCAATTGTCATTTCTATGGCATTGAAAGCTGAACATTTGTGCTTCTGTTCTGAAAGACAATGCCTATGGCAGATTGTAGTTTCACTGAGTTCTTGTGTTGTTTTGTTGTGTTGGTCAAATTTACCCATCGGTGAGTATTTTACCTGAAACGTCTTTGTTAGGTATTTGATAGGCTAATACAGTTTTTTAAATACAGTTTAATTAAGGGCTCAGCATTTTAAATAAATACAAATAATACATTCTCTGAGAATGAATCCCCATGGTCATGAATTTAATTCTGTAGCTTATGTTGGAGCTGGGAGAACTTTGAGATGAAAAGTTCTATACAACCCAATCTTAGTAAACTATGGTAAGTAAAGTATACTGTTGTTCAAAAGCAAAGTCAAATCAAGGATTTGTCACTTTCATGGTTGAACATTGTTTTTTACTTTTCTGTATAATGAAATCAATTATATTTTTAATTTTCCAGTAAATCAGTAAAGTGTGAGGAATGTTCTTGATATGCCACAAGGTCATCATAAATAGACTGTCTGTGACTGTGGAGTTACAGCCAACATTACTGGTTATTCAAAGTTTTCTCTAACAAAAATATGGCAAACTTCAAAAGGTCACGCTAACACAGCATGATAATTATATATTCTAAATCATAGCAGCTAAAAAATGCTAAAGCCGGGTTTCCATTTACTGACCCACTAATTTGTCAACCAAATTCTCTTGGTCCCTACATTTATTTCTCTTTATAAATAAGTCCCCTGGGGAAGCTGCACTAATTTTTTCATGTCACTAAGACCCTGCTTAATAACTTGCTTTCATTGCCTAGTAGCATAACAGGGCAAATTTAATGCAAGGAGCATATTAATATATGGAGTATTTAATGTGCCTTCATGTAAAAAGTATGCACAGAAATGTTTAACTACTATAACAATTCACCCTCAGATTACTATCTAGTACCCTGCGGTAACTTCAAACACCTGTGACCTTTCTATTGCCTTTGGTTCAACAGCCAAGTATGATTTCATGGTTCCTTTGTACTTTCTCTCATAGTTCCATTCTAAACCTAAATGCCAGCCATCTCATCATTACCTGTGTCTAGTATTCCTTTAGTCTTCTTCCTAACTCATCCTGTATCCTTCAGGAAACTCCTGAGCAGTTTTGCCATGAAGCCAGTAAGACTTGAGGGCCTTTTCCAAGGTCCCAGAAGTGAGTTCCCATAGTCACAGAAAGATATTTCAACCACTGTTCGTGAATCACAGTTTGCTGTCTCTTTCTGCTGACTTCTCCATCTATCTCTTCTCATTCAGTAGCATCAGAGAGGTGGCAGATATTTTCAAAATTTGTCTAAGGGAAGGTGGGTCTAGGATAGGTAGGATAGATTTGTGTGGCCTCCAGTCATATCCATGCATCGTTAGGTTATTGTGAGCTGTACTTGTGAAGGAAGGGCCTTTGGGATGGCTTCTACCACCCACTGCACTGACTAACTCAGTTTTGTGATATGAAAAGGGCAAAGCCAGAGTCATACCTAATTTCATGTTCATAATTCTATCTTCTTTTTTCTAAAGAGAGACAGGAAAATTATATTAATTTTGAGACCTACACAGGTTGGGTCTACCCCTACATTTTAATTACCTAGAGTGATTTTTTTTTTATTACTAAACACTAATTAAGGATGTTTTTGAAAGGTAAATAGTCTTGCAAAGCCCTTATTGAAGGGCCCCCTGCTGCCTGAAAACGAACTCGTAATCACTCTCACCACTCATTTCCACATAATGTAGCTACTTTCAGACTGTGTCATGCCCTATCTCATTTTAACCAAATTGAATAGCAACTTGCTTTCTCTTTTTTTTGCTTAGGTCCTATTCTTCACTGGGACCTCCTTTTCTTCTAACAAAGTCTAGCTTAATCCTACCCATTCTTCAGAACTAGCTGAAGTATTATTTCCTCAGTGCATTCAACAAATATGTATCATGTTCCTACTTTGAGCTGGGCACTAGGTTACACAGGTGAGCAGCATAAAGACCCTGCCTTCCCACAGCATGCATTCTAATGTGGGGAGACAGACAAGAAGCTAGTAAATGAGAAAAGCATATCACATGTACGGTGAAAAGTGCTATAGAGAAGTAAAGCAGGGAAGAAGGATAAGGAATGTTTGGGAGTAGTTTTAAATGGGCTGGTCAGGGAAAGTCTCACGGGTAGGTGATACCCCAGCAACAACCCAGAACAAGTATAATGTGAACCATCGGGGAGAGGGGATCTGGGAGAAATAGCATTTTAGGTAGTGGGGGTCCCTGTGAAGCCTTTTCAGGTCCATCTTAATAAAAAAAAAAAAAAAAATCTTTGCCTCTTTTAAATGCCACTAGCCGTTTGCTTACCCCTCTCAAAAGCACGCTTCTCTTTCACTAGACTGTGTTTTGTATTTATGTCTCCCACAATGCTCTCACTGACTGGTAGCACTGAACGTAGCTGCTGAATGAATAATGAATTATTTACCAAGGTGCTTTGGCCTGAAAAAACAAGTCTTGCATTTCATTTTTCTTAACCTACTTACCATTACAACAACTTTAAACACTTGGATGCTCTGTCTCAAAATATGTTGACCTCTGTACGAGGAGACCAAAATTACATAATAGATCATTCTAGGTAAATTCAGGTGCCAACGTACCTTTGCTGGAAATGCCTAGTTAATTGGAACCAAAATAAGCTGTTTTGCCAAGGTTTAAACTCCACCTGCCACTACTAGCAATTTGACAACTGAACAAGTTATTTAGCTCTTCTAAGCCTCACTTGGCATTATCTAGACAGTGGGAGTAATAAGTGAACCTTTTTAATGAGGTTATTTTGAGAAATAAATGAGGGCATAGGGTCTGGCACAACTAAGTGCTCACTAAATATTGCTGTAATCATTTCTATTAGTAACTGTTAAATCTTGGGCTAAATATGTGAGATATAATAGTAATCAATGAACCGTTGAACCAATTGCTAGATTCAGTGGGGAAATGACTGTTTGATAGGACTGACAGATCAATGCAAGCAAGCATATTGATAGGCCCATGTTTTACATAACCCCAATAGTGAATTAAGAAAAGGTACGGAGTTATTAGCAAAAAAATTGCAGAAAATAAGAAATGAAAACCTTTTTTAAAATCATCCTTCTTACTGCTCGTCAGCAGGGTCAGTTAATTTCCTTCCTACTGTGTTAATTCAAAATGCATTACACTAGGATTTGCCTCTATCATATATTCATATTGCAAATGATGCAGATCCTAGCTCTTCATATCTTACAGTGACAAGCGTAATTGGACTATTCATATCTTTACAGTAAACCCCTACACTTGCATTCTTAATATTCTAACTCTCAAGTACTTGTGAGCAGCAGCAGGGATTTCCATTTCTAGCCATTTGCATGGAAATATTAAATCTTGCAGGCTGCAAGACTGTTCTTTAAGAGTACATTAGTGCAGTAGGATATTACTGGGTTGTTGTTTTGGTTTGTGTGGGGTTTTTTTCTTCCCTGTATTTAGAGAGAATTAAACCTGATCACTAGTAAAATATCTGAGCATCTTCACTGCCTTTTACATATCTATATTGTTGGAGTAAATCTTCCATCAAATAATACATGTTTTCTATTTGTGAAAATTGGGGAAGAAAATAGAAAAGTCTAAGAAAGTAAAAGCACTTAAAAATTGAAGATTCTCAAAGGTGTAAAATTGTTTGCCTCACAGTTTTTTAAAGTATTTTATACCTGATTATACTCTCGAGTCAGACAGTAATCAGATACCTCCTGATGAAATTTCTTGCCCCTGTGTATGTCACAATCACTGTCTTTAATTTTTTATTTTTTGGTCATCTCAGAAATCTGAGAACTTCTGAATACAACTTTAATAAAGAATAACAAGACTAAAGTTTCATTTGGACTTTGAATTGCAAATTAGATGAAATTCTGAAAGTTTTACACTTAAGGACATGGCTGTTTAAAGAGAGACCAAACTTCTGGATGAGCAAAATAGAAATGATTCTAGCTTTTAAAATTTGTTCTGTAAATACAATCTCCTTTTTTTTTTTTTTACTTAAATCTGAGAATCATGTTAACTGTTAAAAAGGCACATCAGTTGTAGGTCCCCTTCTAATTTAAAAATCCTTTTCAAGCTTGGTTTTCCCACATAGTTCTTGTGTTAGTCCGTGAGATAGGTTCTGAAGGCAATATTTTCAGTTTTCTCAATGAGAAAATTGCAGCTTAGAGACATTAGATTATATACATAAACTATCATGCTCCACGTGGCATAAAGAGGGAGGCAGTCAATACTTACATGTGCATTTATTGTTTCTAGCATTCACAGTCACCTGATGTGTGGGTAGGACTGAAGCCCAGGTTCCCTGATCCCCTGTAAGAACACTTGGCAGTGCACCATTCAGCTTCCCCCACCCCCCTTCAGTATGGGAGAACAAGGATTCTCCAGCTCTAACCTTCTGAAGTTGCCTCTCTTATCTGAACTTGAAACACTGAAATGAAGTCCTCAGGGTAGATAGGGCTAAACATGGAGGTTTCTAGGCTTGTTGGAAACTGAGGCATTCTTGAAAATTTGGGATACCCTATGAGTAATCCCAGTCAAATAACTCCAGGGCACTTCCTTTCTGGTATTCTCAGAATCGTCATTTGATTTTCTTCTTACTTGTGACTTCTGGTAGATTTTTTGTTTTCCTCCTTGCCTGACCCAATATCAAACAGAATGTAATCTGGTAGACCTGCTCTGCTTCCCTCATTCTCTGAAGCT